TGTGTGTGTTGGCCCTCTACTGGGCACTATGTGTAGCCTGGGCGGATGCTGTGGTTAAGGCAAGGCTCCAGGTGAGGTGGGACAGGTGATTGAATGGAGGCAAACAGTTTTTTTTTACCGTGTCAGCCTGTCGGAGTTAAACGCATCCAACGCGGATTTGTTTGTTTTATTTATAGACAGTGGTTCCTCATACTTTCCTTTATTTGATAAGAAGTGTTTAAAAAGAAATGGATTGAAATATCCAAATCAAATCATCAATGGACTGTGTTCATTTCTTCGAGCTAAGCACGCGTCAGAAAGCTTCCACATTCATCCTCAAGTGACTTTTCTAAACATATTGGGTTTGTTAAAATTGGTCACTGCACTACATTATTTTTTTACATTATTGTATTTTTTTTACATTATTGTATTTTTTTATTTAAATGATGTAAATATGTTTGATCTGTTTTTAACTTCTATTTTTATTTTTTATAAGTATATTCCCGTCCCTTGTTTTCTGGAGCTGCTGTAATGCACAAATTTCCCCCACGGGGGATCAATAAAGTTTATCTTTATCTTTATCTTTATCTTTATCTTCCAAGAATAAGGTAAATACACAATAACTAATTACAGGGAAAGACTATTGTCTTCTCATTATTTAAAAAAAAAATAGTAAGGCTTTGTAGATCACAATCAAAAGGCTAGCAAAAGAAACCCTTTATTAAAAGGGAATCAAATACTTAGATTTCTTCATTCTACTTTTTTTTAATTTGTTTTCTCAGAATCAAGCCTGTTAACAAATAATGTGGTTCATTTTTTTGTAAATTCTGTATTAAGCTCATGTTATTGAATGGTGAAACAACAGTCCGCTTGTTTGCAAAAATTGTGCCTAGGTTTATTTTCATAGTTGACAAAAAATGTGGAAAATAGTAAAAGCAGTCGAAAAAAAAGAAAAAACATACATTGTACAGAACATTTTCTATTTTAGGAATATTTTTCAGCCCTTGCTAACATGAAAAAAAATATATAAATGACAATCTGAATGAGGCCTTGGGCCAAAATCTGTTCTGATTCTTTTCTAAGTGTTAAAACTAATAACTAATGTACAAGAGAAATAGTTCAGAGGGACACCTGTAGTAAACCTGCATCTATGTTTGGAATAATCTGTACACTGGCATTGACTGGAAAAACACTTTGTTATTACCAAGGAAATATTTTGTGTCAATTAAGGGTCCAGAAGTGTCTTTGAAGATTCTGCACAAGTGCTATCCATCCATCTGCACTTCCTGCAAGAGAGTGTATGCTGTCCTCCAATGCTGTCCTCTTCTGGTAATCGTCTGAACTGAAGCTCTGAGGCTTCCATTGTAAAGGAGGAAAATAAAGGATATAGAATTACAGCGTTGCTGTGATTTTAAGCATATTCTTCAGAGCTCCAAGCACCTTTCTGAAAACAGACTGCTCCCTTCTCCTAGGGCCCCTAATTAATCTCCTCCTCCTCCCCATAACCTGCCATGCCCGAGCTGTCCACCAGGTGTCCTCAAATACTTTCAACAGACTCTAGCCCTCACCTGCTCTCACTCCTCTCCTGTTGATTCCAGCTTTGTGCCTCATGAGGACACATAAATATCATCTATGTATTTTATAAATATTTGTATTAGTGTGAATGCTCGTGCATTGCACACTTCATGTTTTACAAAAAAACACTTCATGAAAACATGCACATGCTTTACAGGTTTTCTTTGAAACAATTATGACAACATATCGAGCAGTAACCTAACAAGCTAACAGTGAAGCTAACAGGAAGTGCAAAACAACTGCACGTCTTCAAGTGGCCACATGGGGCACAAAACAGCAACAAAACAAAAGAAGAGCTTTGGTCTTCAAAGCTTTCTTTATTCATGACAAGAAGGATGCATTGTGGTTAAACTCAAAATCGAAGCTACCAGTTATACATGATCTGGGGCGTAGTCGCTTTGATTGACAGATGAAGGCTGCTGGCTGTCTGCTGTGTCAACTAAGACCTAAGGGGCCAACAACAACAACCTACAAATGGACCCAATAAAGCACATAAAACACCTTAAAGTCAAAGTGATGGGATTTTTATGAGAAAAGCCTCCCTCAGAAAATTACTGAGGGAGGCTCCCGCAGCAGCCGCCACTCCAAAACTCTTTGGGGCGGCAGTAGCTCAGTCTGTGGAGACTTGGTTTGGGAACCTGAAGGGTCGCTGGTTCAAGTCCTGGTGAAGACCAAAATATGGAAGCTGGAGAGGTGCCAGGTCACTACCCGAGTACTGCCCTTGAGCAAGGCTCAACAGCTCCGGCGTGCATCCTGCAAAGCAACGTGTAGGAGCGCTAAGCAACATTTAGCAAAGTTATAGTGGCAAGAAAACAGAAAGAAACCTCGAAAAGGACCAGACTCATGTTGAACTCATACACTGTAAATATGAATATACGAAGCCTGAGTGATTTCACCCATCTGTTCCTGCAGGGGGCGCTGGAGTAACACTGATGGCGGTCTCCATGCTGGAAATCACGTCTCAGCCTAACTTTCATTCAACCTAACGAGCTGAGGCGGATTTTAAGCCTCCTGACAAACCGTTACACCGTGTCCGCTTGTCATTTAGGTCAGCTACGCTCCTTATTTGAATAACGCTTATCCTTCATAAAATCAAAACAGCTGAGTTGTTAAAAAAAATCACCCTCTTACAGTGTGTGCCGATCGAGACATGAGCTAACCAGACCTATTTAATTATTTAAACCAGGTTGAAAACATGTTTATTTATACTGTAGCGTTTTTAAAATGGGGTGTGTATGTGACTTCTGGTGCTTCTGCAGCCAGCCTCTAGTGGACACTTTTTTTTCCCACATTTTTCGACACCAGAGGTTTCTGCTTGGTTGAGGGGCCATCTGTCACAATGGTGTTGGGCTTGTAAAGTGAGATAGACAGACAGATGGAAAGAAAAAGACAGACAGAGACAAACAGAGCAGCAGCAACAACAACAGAAATGAATGAATGTTGTTTATGCTACGGGTAATACTTTGAAAACTTGTGTTGTCTGCACGGCAGTACTCTTTGTCAGAAAGTGGACTTTATTTCAACAGAGCTGATCTGGATCTGTTCTATTTATGGAAGCATTCTTCTTTCTCTGTTCACCACAACAGGAGCTTATCTCACTTGTTCTGCAGGCTGGATTTAGATGCAGGCAGAACCAACAAACCAAACTGAAACAGTAACTGCAGGAGATATCTAGAGCAGATTTTAAACTTGGTATTCTGTTGACCATTGTGGGAATGATTTAAGTCAACAGCAAAGTGATTTATTTGGATTATGGCAAACTGGAAAAGGAACCTTATTGTTTACATGCTCATATTGTCCTTGAAACGTGGAAACTACAGCTCAGGTTTCCATTGAAATGACTTTTGTCTGTTTAAAACAAATAGTAAATAAAAAAATGCTCTACTAAAAAACAGCATCATATAGTGAGCTCTGTTATGATCATCAACCTGTTGTGTTGCTGTTTGTCCAGTTGATGGCAGCATTCCAGTCTATAATGATTTACTGGAATTGAATCTTGACTTATTGAAGTTTGATCTGGAGGAAAGTGATACTGATATGATATGATGAGGAAGGTATTTAATGCTGATATGAAAAACAAACAAATTCAGCCATATCCTGATTTTTTGGAATTTTTAGTTAAAAAGATCCCAGCTCATCTTAGCTCACATTTATTCATATTACCCGGCCAGTGACAACCGAGGATCCATGTGCACATCATGAAGCTGCTTTATTCGTGGCAGTGTGTTCTTGTCTACTCGTTTATTGATACTTTGAATACGTCCAATTAACCACAGCATTAATATAAAGGCAGAATCTGTCATTATATGCCGTGGTTCCCAACCTTTAATGGATTGTGAGCTCAGTTTGACTTCACAAAGCTCTGGGGACCACAGACATCCAAAACACATAGAGCTTTTTGCTTGAGACCGGGCAGACAGGCCGGGAGATTGGTGCACAAAGGATTTTATGTTTCTCAGTGTCTGATGTGTACAGCCAGGTGAGCTTGTATTTTACAATGCTGGATCGTTTTTAGCATGTGCTACAAGGAACTGGATACCGTCTTGTAGCTTAATTAAGGCATATTATTTATATATTTTATTTTGGTCAATAATTTGAAATTTCAGGGGACCCCATTTGGACTCCATGTGGTACCCCAAGATTGGGAAATCCTGCATTATCGAGTCGGACTCACTGAAAATGCAACTCAGATGGATTTCAGTTGGCAGGCTGTCCTGTGTGAAAACAGCTTAAGAGACATCCATAACCAGAGAGATCAAATAGTGCTGCAATCACATGAACATTTGGTGCTTTAGTGCGCTTACGAGTCGGTTTTAAAGAAAGTGAAGAGAACGAGGAAGTGTGATGAATGCTTTGAATGGTCGTGAATAAATCAGATCTTGTGTGGCGATAAGCTGCTCTGTCATCAGATGAACATATAAGGGAAGAAGATGAAAATGGAAACGGGCCAAAACAAGACAACATGCCACCAACCGAGAGAGGAGCGGTGCGAAGTAGAATATCAGAGAGTGTGCAGATGTTTTCACACGGGGCTCCCTGACGAACATCAGGGAGTAAGAACAAGACAAGTGAGGATCTAGAGGGGAGAAACGACGTCAGTAAGTGCAAACAAACAGCTTTAAGCACCCACCTGGGGGAGGGGTTACTGCCCTTTGTGATGTCATGAAGGGAAAATATCCAAAACGGCTTGTTTGAGCACACATTTTCTGAAAAGTGGAGCAGGCAAAAGACTTAGAGGATGGACTTTTCTCATAACTGGGGGGTGGTTTGTAGACGGCCTAGAGACACATTAGTGTTTAATTGTATTTTGGATAATGTGTGACCTTTAATACATCGTCATCAACAACTACATCGACAGCTGCACCACTTTTGCCTGAATGTATTTTTTATTTTCATTAAACAAGAGCTATCCTTCATGACACACAACATGAAACTTTATCACAGGGTTGTTTTATGTTTTTTTTATTTAGACTTTGTTTTATTACCATACAATCACAATTCACAGTTTGTACAAGGTGCTAGTGCTAAAAAACACGATAAAAAAATAATTAAAAGAGTATACAGTTCATTTTACAAACACATACATGTATATAAACCTAATTTTCACGACACACAGAATCTGAATGACTGACAGTAGTGTAAGGACGTTTGTCGTTGATTTCATAAACTCATAAACTTCATAAACTGCTTTTTCTCCAACCAGGTCAATGATTAACTGTGTGTTACAGAACAGTTAATCATTCACATTTATGATTGATTAGGAGTTTTGTTTTCCACTTTTGGCTTGTCTTCAGTACAGTAGAGAATATTTGGTCTGACAGGCTCGAGCTTGACACGCAGGCTCGATCAGAATTCAAGATTTTAAAGGCATGCGAGGCGGTTTCTCTGAGAACTCGGTTGTGAAAAAAGTTAAATAAACCAAACCTCAAAAAAAGGGCCTATCACAGCCTGCTCTGTTGCCTCCGACCAGTTTGATGGATGTCTGGCATTCCTGAAATGTTTGTCTTATGACTACATACTCTCACACAGTGAATGAAATTCCCAAACTTTTTTGTTCTCCTGATTGCGCCCGCGCAGACTGGCAGAGAGTGTCTGAAAGCACCATGGCAACAGCAAGCACGCCTGTTTTTATGCCTCTAACCCCTCCTAGCACAACATATATGAATAAAAGAAACGTTGGCAGGAAATAGTTGCATTTCCTTAAAATACACACACACACACACACACACACACACACGAATTAAAAGTATTTCATGATTCTAACCCTTCACTAAAGACATGGAATGTGAAGAGGGAGTAAGAAGGAGGCTGATAAGCTGCCAAAAGCTACAGTTATTGCGTGGGCTAAATCATCACATTATACACTTTTGTCCTCCATAAATCAACATCAGAGACTCCGTGGTGTCGGAACGGTTCCCAATGTGGTTACTTTAAGACAACAGAGCCTGACCTGGACCCCTTTTACTCCTAGAGATTAAGTAGACAGGTAGATTAAGGGTGAACAAAGCGCTTACAGTTTCTGTTAAATCACAGCTTTACCTGGTTATGTACATGGATGTTTGCATTAGGAAAAGTTAAAATGCTGATGCGGGCTCAAGCAAACAAGAAGTGTTGATTTCAGTGGTCGTCAGTAAGAGTGGTCTTGGTTTCTCCTGCACAGAGAGATGAAGAGAAAAAGAAAGGAAGAGGGAGGGTTAGTAACAAACTTATTACCTTGTTTGGTTGTCTGAATTTGCAACAGTTTTTGATGCCACTTGTTTTAAAATAAGACAATCTGAGAATCCTTAATGATGCATTGTATCAAAAAGTATTGAAGCTTTAATAAAAACTAAAGACCTTCAGTCACAAGCTGTTTTCACATCTGCCTGAAAATCTATATGCACGGTGCAGCAGTCACAGTATATAAACGTCACTCCCCCCCTCCTATTGGCTTGAGCTGAATTCTCCTGATTATATCCTGCTGCGTTTTCACATCAGCTCACTCGGCTGTGGAGAAAAATGGGCTCTGGCAGGTGGCAAGTGTTGAAGCCCTAATATTTTGAACACAAAGCTGCAATGGCTCATTCAAATTCACACTCGTGTGTCATGAAGATGTGATGATTTTTTATGTCTAACAAACAGACAGCAGAAGTGGTGACTGTCTAAATTGCACAAACACATTGCTGCCAATGTATTATGTGCAATTTCAGACAATGTGCAGGAGTTTGCTTGTACATTTTTGGCAATAAAAAATGGAAATTCAACCAAAATTGTGCACTTGGGACTAGGTATCGAAACTTTTTTTTTTAATGTCGTCTAATTCTTACTAGAATTATATTGACGTTTAAAAAGTGACAATCCAACTCAAATGTTTGAATTATATTTACCTGTAGTCAGACTTTCTTGAACATCCATCCTGAAAAACAGATGAAATGTTAGAGTGTGAATGAAGATTAAATCGTGACTTTAAACACAAAGACGTTCTCGAGACTCATCTTCCTCCATGTGTATCATGACTTGATGGTCACCTGGAAAAAACCCAATATATAATTATGGTGGAGGACAATGGGCTGTAAAAACAACACCATGTAAATTTATTGACATCACCCTACACAGCCAACTCATAAATCAGACACTAAAGGGAGCCCATCAAACACCTGGAGCCCAGTTAGAACACCGATGGTTGTACATGTAAGTTGTTATGTGACAGAAGTTATCAACAGTTGAAAACAAGGCAGGAGGACATGCATGGACAGGCCTCGGAATGACATGTGAAACCTATTTGTGGTGAGTTATTTGGTTACATGATGTTTCAGAAGATATAGCCCAGGAGGCCCCACATCGCCTCGTTGAATTAAAAAAAAAAAAAAACCCTCAAGCTATTAAAGACACAGTCTGATTTAAGAGGTTTAAAATGTCTACCTGCGTAATGATTTCTCTTGTGTTCAGCCAAGTCCACAACGTGCAGTTTCTCTACAGCTTTCTGTTTTTGCTTTGTGTGGGTTTACACTCCTACTAGCTACCCTAAGGTAGACTACGGTGAAAGTTGTGATGTTCTTGTTCTAAGTCCACTCTGATCAATCTGAGAGCTGGAGCTGAGGCGGGTTTTAAAGGTGACATATTGTCCTCCTCTTCAACCAGTTTAAGTCTCAGAGCTCCTCAAAACATGTGTGAAGTTTCATGTTCTAAATCCACTCTGATCCTGTATTTGATCATGTCTATAAACCCCTCTATTTCAGCCCTGCTCAGAACAGGCTGTTTCTGTGTCTGTACCTTTAAATATGTAAATGAGCTGTGTCTGACCACGCCCCCTCTCTGGAAGGGCTTGGGTGGCTCGGGCTTTCTCGCTCCATGTCCTATTGTTTACGGTGAGAAGGCAGACTCAGAGGGCAGAACAAACACCTAGCTGTGGGAGTGTCACCCACCTGGGGGAGGGGCTACTGCCCTTTGTGATGTCATGACGGGAAAATCTACAAACGGCCTGTTTGAGCACACACTTTCTGAAAAGTGGATTGACTTTTCTCTTAATTGGGGGGTTTGTAGACAAACTCGGGACAAAAATTAGTGTCTGACACCTTCAAAAGTTCTCGTGTTATCCATTGTCAGGAGTATTTATTTCCTTTTGGCTCTGACAGGAAACAAAGGGCACACTCACACTAGGCAAGCACGTTTGACCACAAAGGCCAGTTCGCTTTGACTAGAAGTGTGAGTGATCCATTTTGTGCATCAAGAAATGGAACACAGAAGGAAAAATAAAAGTGAACGCTCCCTCACTGCAAACATCTACTTCAGTTGACCGCCGTTTTTTTTAAAACAAAGCTCATGTCCTCACTCTACTGTTAAAAACAAACGTCACATTTATAGTAAATACACTAATGAACCCAACCCGACAACAAAGGAGAGCGTACTTTCCCAGCGTGCATAACGTGGCTGCATGCCAAGTGCTGATCAGGTTTGTCCACCTTTAAAAGTCCCCGTGTTATCCATTGTCAGGAGTATTTATTTCCTTTTGGCTCTGACAGGAAACAAAGGGCACACTCACACTAGGCAAGCACGTTTGACCACAAAGGCCAGTTCGCTTTGACTAGTAGTGTGAGTGATCCGTTTCGTGCTTGATAATGGTACTTTAAAGAGGACATATTAGCCCCCCCCCCCGCCCCCCCCCCATCCACCTTTTCAAACAGTCCCCTGTGGTCTAAATGAACATCTGTGCTGTGCTTTGGTCAAAATATAACATGAATCAAGCACCAGAGGAGGTTTGTGACCCTGTATAAAACAGCTCTCTCAGAACGCTCCGTTTTGGTGTGTGTGTCTCTTTAAATGTAATAAGCCCCCGCTGAGTTTTCCCCGTAGACATCACTCCTCTGTAGAGAGAATAAAAATGGCCGACCTGCGCTAAAGTTTTGTTTTAGTCTGGGGGTGGAGTCCATGTGTGGAGATATTAGGGGAGGGTTTTATTTATATTTTACCAGAATCCCACTGTGACATCGCAAGGAGAGCACATTTGAAACAGAGCATTTTTCTCTGTGTTATAAGACTTATGCAGACCACAAACAAAGGACTGGATGGGTTTATTTCACATTTTGTGGGTCAGTAGAAACTCAGGTTACCCAAATATATGTTCAAAAACACTGTACAAGTGGACTTTTCATAACACAATATGTCCCCTTTAAGGTGTTACAACAATGCATTTGCAAAGTCCAGGATGCAGGACAGCATCCAACATCCTCCTCTGGTGCAAAATGACATAGGTTTCAATATATTAATACAATTTTGAATTTCAAGAGATTTAAAGTTAAGATGGCTAAATGTTAAATAAACAGGAATGCATTTTCAATGGTCAGTTTTTGGATTCAAGCTGCCATGTAAAATATACAGATATATATTTAATGGTACTCACGCCAAGATCGTCTTTTGTAAAGTAGCAACACTAGAGACCCCACGATCAGAGACCCGACGACCAACACAGAAGCCACTATCATGGTGGCCAAAATCATGTTTGAGTCTTTGGTGTCTTGTCCCAGCCCTGAATAAATCAAATAGAAGAAAATAAAAAGTTACAGATGTAATACTTCACATGGATACAAAGATAGAACATAGAAGAAGATATTTGGAACCAGGTTGGCGTGTCATGCAGTGGTGGGAAATTCCCCCTGTGATACTTTTAGCTGCAAACATCCACTTTCTCTTTCTCTCTAGGGGGGAGGGGGGGGGGTCTGAGTTAATGATCTGCCCTCCCAGACAAAGTAGAAAGTAAAGACAACGCCTGGAGGGGATTTTGGTGTTGCAAACGCGCGACTGTCGACTGTAAAACAGATATTAATCAGCTGATGATAAGTGACCGTTTACTGCATTCAGCAGATGTGGGGACTTGTAACAGCTCGGCTAAGGTCACTGCACAGATATCAACGAACCAGTTCATGAGTTTTCCCGTCAAAGAGTATGAACAATGGATCAAAACTTTCATGAAATCAAGAAGCTTGACCCCCCCATGGTTTAGAGAAAGTACTGGGTCACACTTGGAGACTTATTGATGTCTTACAAGATGGAAGGAAACAAAACTGAAGCAACGTGGGAGGGAAAGTTGCTCCGACTTGTTTTTTTAAGGAAGCTTCAGCCTTGTTGTGGTTTAATGTTCACAAGTTCAGTCTGAGCTGCCAAGATTTTCTTTTCCCTGCATGAACACTCCTGGGGATATTTTGCTCTTTGGACTCAGCTCTCATGGTTAAAATAACAGTTAGTGTTCAAATCAAGGGTGCTGCCAAATAAGCCCTAAGGTTCACCCAGGTTCTTCATATTCTAGAAACAAACAAACACCTGCAAATCCGATTTGATAACGCTGAATATTCACCCTTCTTTAACATCTTGATTTATAGAAATATGTCGTATTTCAGGAACGTCTTTATTGAGCTTCTGGCAGCCTGATTCTGTGTTTTGAGTTTGTGTCAGACTCACACAGTTTCCATCTTCGACATTTATAGTCGCCTACAAACAGGGGCGTGTCTAAAAAGGGTTGGCGTGGGCCCCCCCTTGAAATCTGATTGGCCACCCCTGGTGCCAATCCCAAAATAACCTAAATATTATTGGCTAATTGATTTGCCAAGGGCGTACTATTTGAACTGATTTGCATCAGGCTGCTAGTAACATTCTTTGCGGGCCGATTTGTCTCGTTTCCTCTTGTTAGTTCTTCAAACCGCAACTTTAGACTTAATTCTCTTTTTTTGAAGAAATTTGAATGTTTCCTCTCTGTTTCCTCCCAGATTTGTAAAGCAGAACTTTCTTAACACGGGAGCACGTTGGTAACGTTTGAGCATTTGAAGAAAAGGCCATGATGAATGGCTCATCTTTGACCTTCACCTTAACCGTCCATGCTTTGACTTTTCTTTCATTTCCATTTCCAATCCCTCGCCTTAAAACCTCTTCATCATCTTCTCTCCTTCGCTTTTGTTTCTTCCTCTGCCTCGGCCACTAAACAACGGAGCAGACTCTTTACTATACAAAAACATATTACTATAGTAACCACGCTACACACTGTCTATTCACTATGTTCCTTTAAAGCCAACCCCCCCCAAAAAATATGGCTTGAATTCAGATTTTTGATGTCACATTTTGAGTTTTATCATATATTTATCATATTACCTGTGACGTTCAGTCTGGTGTGGTTCTTGTTAAAACCACTGTCTGTGGACACATAACATGTATAAACTCCCTCGTCCTTAACAGCATTTTTGTGAATGAGCAGGGATATGTTCACGTTCTTGTTCTTCCAGGATCGCTCAGCAGCAAATGAATAGCCAGGCAATGGTGTAAGTTCTCCATGGTCTCTAATTGTACGATGGGAGGTAGAGCCTTCGACTATCGGGCCTGCTCGTGGTACCTGCAGTTTCTAAATGTACAACGGTAAGTGCTCATGATGAATTAAGCGGGGTCTATGTAATATAGCCAAGAAGAATCAAATATTTCATGAAATTCCTGCACTGATGAAAGAATTCCTCGCCTCTTCGTCTACTCTGGCGTTGAACACTTTGCAGGTGTACTTGGACAAGGCGGATCCTCGCTGTATATTCAGCGTGCTTAAGAGGGTAAACAGACCATTTTGATCTAACAAAGCATTATTGTCTTTGTTAAACCAGCTGAGTCGGCCTTTTGGGTAGCCGGTGGACTTGCATGTCAGGGAACCGTTCGTGATGAGATCAATGTTCTGAGATTGCGACTGAAAAGTAAGCTCTCCGTATTTGGCTTGAAGGAGAACATGGAGATGAAACATGATTATTAATCTGAACTTCAACCCTCGACATCAATCATCACACTATTATTTTACCACTGATATTTGATGTGTGATAAGCAGGACAAATGTACTTAATGAAAGCAGACATCTTATTTGTCATAGAGAAACAGAAAGTAGCAAAGACACAGAGCAAACAGTGAACATTATCTAAATGTACTACGGGAGGTAGAGCCCTCGGTTATCAGGTCTGCATGTGGTACCTACAGTCTCTAAATGTACTATGGGAGGTAGAGCCTTCGATTATCAGGCCTGATCGTGTTACCAAAAGTCTCTAATTGTACGATGGGAAGTAGAGCCCTCGGTTATCAGGCCTGATCGTGGTACCAAAAGTCTCTAATTGTACGATGGGAGGTAGAGCCTTCGATTATCAGGCCTGAGCGTGGTACCAAAAGTCTCTAATTGTACGATGGGAGGTAGAGCCCTCGGTTATCAGGCCTGATCGTGTTACCAAAAGTCTCTAATTGTACGATGGGAGGTAGAGCCCTCGGTTATCAGGCCTGATCGTGGTACCAAAAGTCTCTAATTGTACGATGGGAGGTAGAGTCTTCGACTATCAGGCCTGCTCGTGGTACCAAAAGTCTCTAATTGTACGATGGGAGGTAGAGCCTTCGACTATCAGGCCTGCTCGAGGTACCTGCAGTTTCTAAATGTACTACGGGAAGTGCTCATGATGGATTAAGGGGGGTCTTTGTAATATAGCAAAGAGTAAGCTCTTTTACCTGCTTTTGTAAAGTGTCTCAAGATAGCACTTGTTATGAATTGGCGCTAGAGATTAATCATTCCCTCAAAATGATCCATATGTGTGTGTGTGTGTGTGTGTGTGTGTGTGTGTGTGTGTGTGTGCCAAAAAGCTGAGACAAAGCTTTATCTTAGAGCTCACCTGTGACGTTCAGTCTGGTTTGGTTCTTATTAAAACCACTGTCTGTGAACACAAAACATGTATAAACTCCCTCGTCCTTAACAGCAGTTTTGTGAATGAGCAGGGATACGTTCACGTTCTTGTTGTTCCAGGACGGTTCAGCAAATGAATATCCAGGCAACGATGTAAGTTCTCCATGGTTGTATTTAAGTACGGTTCCTCAACCCCCTCTTTCATCCAAGTTATCGCCACGATTTCAGGATCTTCTAGGTCTTCAGCATGGTGGATTACACAGTCAAGTCGTGACTGCTGGTCATACTGTCCAACATTTTGAGTCTTGCAGTGAATTTCCACAGAGGACTGAGCATGACTCTGTGAACTTCCTCCACTGATGAAAGATTCCTCCGCCTCTTCGTCTCCTCTGGCGTTGAACACTTTGCAGGTGTATTTGGAGAAGGCGGATCCTCCCTGTATTTTCAGCGTGCTTGAGAGGATAAACAGACCATTCTCTGTCTTCAGCACCTCCACCTCGGGTTGGTCTAACCAAGGCTTGTTGTCTTTATCAAACCAGCTGAGTCGGCCTTTTGGGTAGCCGGTGGACTTGCATGTCAGGGAACCGTCGGTGCTGAGATCAATGTCCTGAGGTTGAGGCTGAATAGTTGGCACTCCGTATTTGGCTTGAAGGAGAACATGGAGATGAAACATGATTATTAATCTGAACTTCAACCCTCGACATCAGTCATCACACTATTATTTTACCACTGATATTTGATGTGTGATAAGCAGGACAAATGTACTTAATGACAGCAGACATCTTATTTGTCATAAAGAAACAGAAAGTAGCAAAGACACCGAGCAAACATTGAACAGTCTCTGTTGAAGGTAAATACCAGCCTGATGGGGAAGAAATCTAGCTCACTTTTACATCTTTCCTGCAGTCCATCTTCTGTCTTTAATCTTATAAATGTTTACACAAACAGACACAAAAATGAGCTCTCAGGGGCTGCTTCAGAGATTAATCATTCCCTCAAAAATGATCTCTGTGTGTGTGTGTGTGTGTGTGTGTGTGTGTGTGTGTGTGTGTGTGTGTGTGTGTGTGTGTGTGTGTGTGTGTGTGTGTGTGTGTGCGTGTGCCAAAAAGCTGAGACAAAGTTTTATCTTAGAGCTCACCTGTGACGTTCAGTCTGGTTTGGTTGGTGTTAAAACCACCGTCTGTGCACACATAACATGTATAATCTCCCTCGTCCTTAACAGCAGTTTTGTGAATGAGCAGGGATACGTTCACGTTCTTGTTGTTCCAGGACGGTTCAGCAAATGAATATCCAGGCAACGATGTTAGTTTTCCATTTTCGTATTTAAGTATGGGTTCTTCAAACCCCTCTCTACTCCAAATTACCACCAAGATTTCAGGATCTTTTACTTCTCCCGAGTAGTGGATTACACAGTCAAGTCGTGACTCCTGCTCATACTGTCCGATGTTTTGAGTCTTGCAGTGAATTTTCACAAAGCCTGTGAAGAAAGAATCACATGAATACCAAGAAGAATCAAATATTTCAAACTCCATATGACGGAGGATCTTACCATAACCCTGTGAACTCCCTGCACTGTTGAGGACAGCGAGCGTTAAGAGCAGAAAACCAGCGGAGGCCATGTTCCTTTACCTGAAATGAAAGTAAAATAATTGAATGCTTTATGCTGCATTCATGTGGTGTCGGCAGGGTTGGGAAGTAACGGATTACATGTAACGGCGTTACGTATTTAAAATACAAAATAAGAGTAATTGTATTCCGTTTTAGTTACAGTTTAAATTGGTGTATTCTGAATACAGTTACTTTCTCAAACAAAGGATTGCCGGTAGGGATTACTTTACGGCACTACACGCAGGTTGCACTGTGCGGATGCAGAAGCAGGTGGCATTATGTGCGCAGGTGCGCTGCAAGTCAGTGAGCGAGAGCACTTTCCACACAACCGAACGACAATGGCAGAGGATGAGAAAAACGACCAGGAGGAGGACAAAAATGCATTTTTGCCATGGAAATTCAGAGGTCAAGAAGGCCACAACATCACAGTGTTTACATCTTTCAAATGACAGAAAAATAAATGGCATGCATTCATTTTTTAATTTGATTCAATATTCTAATCGTTAAGGAAGAGGAACACCTTGTTGCCATATAGCCAAACAAAACTGAACATTCACAGCCTCTGCATTGTATAGAATTTCAACATTGACATTTATGTCTTCCTATTTCCCTCTTTTCGCCAACATTATATTTTTTTTATATTTCCTTTTTCTCGGGTCGCGCGTCTCTCCCCCAGCTCGCCCCCTCCGGTGCGCTCCTCTCCATAATGCGCTCGTCTCCTTCCTCTAAAGCCCGCTGCTGAGCACTCTGTAGGACGCTTGGATTGGGGGACCTCACCACTGTTTGTACCCCCGTCTTCGATACCTCTTTCCAGGGCATTTATATCCGATCAGACACAGCGCTGGCCAGCTGTCCGGTGCGCAACAACGGCGAGTGTAGAGCGTCCGTGCCACAGAGGACACAGCTCACACCTCCTGCGCAATGTATGACACTTCATTCTTAAGATGAAGGGAAGAAAAGAGAGGCCCTGTTTAATGCCGAGGTTTTCTTATAACCAAAATATTCTTTGTAATATTGAGATTTATCTGCTATAACTCGAAAGTATTGTGCGTTTATTTGCCTCTCCCACTAATACCTATTTTGCGCTTGCAGTCATCCTGCTTTCTGTCCAAACGCTCCGTGATGTAAACCAGTAGAACACGCAAAAAAACTAACTTAAATATTACCGCCTCCACAAGGTTTGCACCTGATGTCATTCGCGCAAATCTTAGTAGATCACCCGCAAAACGCCCACCAACCAAACGTGCAAACTTTTGGAGTGAACACGCAATTTAGTACTCTTTACTTGGGAGCTTAGTTAAATCAGGCCCTTATAGTAGAGGAACTTGGGCCCCTAAAAGTTGAGAGACCCCTACCCGAGGTAGAACAAAGCACGACCATATTTTTTCATAACTTGAACATGTCTAGTTTATGAAACGGATTGTTGTATAAAAATATTTTACTGCAAAATAACTTTTTTTGGATGTTTTATGCATCTTACCAAAAAACGAAAACAGGTCAAATTAGGGCTTCTCCAAAAGGGACAGCTCTAGCCTTATCACATGTATCTCTGGGAATCAGAATCAGAATTTCACCAAATATGGACAGGATGTTCACAGATAGTTATTAGTTACAATTATGCAAAGTTTTTATCAATACTATTTTCATTTTTTTCATTTTTCACATTTAAACACACATGTAGTTTAGGTGGAAATTGAAAATTGAAACAAAAATTCAAAAGGTATGTATATCAAAGTCTGTCATTTTTTAAGTAAGGACACCAAACATTAAAATATGTCATTTTTATCTTCTTTAGACTGTTATCTCAACATAAAAGCAAGTTATGTGACTTCTCACTTGACCCTATGCTGTCACCAGCCCCTAACAGGAAACTAGTGCAGCCAGGATTTCAGGGCGACCTGGTACAATGGGGCCCTATGAATGTGTATGTAGGAGGAGGTGGCCACAAACAATTGATTAAGACTTAACAACAAGACACAATATAATTGTATTCTGTAATATATATATAATTAAACATTTTATAGTTATTTCTAATACATTTTGTCTCATATTTTCTATCTTGTATATGATTTATATGATGACACTCAGAGTCAACCCGCTGCTTTCAACAATATTATCACCTATGACATTGTTTCTATTTCATTCTAAAAAATTAAAGCATTGTCTTGACATCAGTTGTGAAACATTAATGATCTAAAAAACAGTATTGATATATATAAGCTTGAGTTCTTAGAAATTAAATATACTTCATATAGTCTATTTGTATATCGGCCATACAGCCTGTTGTAGTTTTTTAATGTATTTCACTCATATAAAGATGATGTGTCGTCACCATATCTCCTGCTTTTAAGAAGAACCCTAGTTACTCCAGAGGATACACTGGATGAAGGGATAGTTTTTATAATACCCTAAGTATGATAAAGTGTTTAAAAAAAAAAGCTACAATAGTTATTTTTGTTGAATGATTTATCAGGCAACCAATGGAGCTGGGATACAAAACAATTCTTATGATGGCGTAAATGTGTGTAAGGTAAATTAGGATAACAATCATGCAGACATGTTTATAAAAAACGTCTTTATACACTTATTTTACCTCATTATATATAATGACATTTGAGTTTTAAATGCTAATTACAAAGGACGATTTCCACGTTTAGACAAACTGACTGCGAACCTGAGAGCTTAACATCTTGCAACTAAAAACCTTTGTGTCACACTTAAGCATCCCCTGTGGACAAAGTTTGACCTCTTACCTCACAGGAGCTTTAAGAAAACAATTGCTGCAGAAAATAACCATCAACAAAGTCAACCAACCAAACATCACAAACAAATCAAGACACCATAACTAAATCAAGACACCATAACCAAATCAAGACACCACAACCAAATCAAGACACCATAACTAAATCAAGACACCACAACCAAATCAAGACACCACAACCAAATCAAGACACCACAACCAAATCAAGACACCACAACTAAATCAAGACACCATAACTAAATCAAGACACCACAACCAAATCAAGACACCATAACTAGATCATCAATAGAAAAGATTGCAGATGGTTAAACCTTTCGCAGGCATCAAAATCACTTGTACACCCACTGGCTTTAGTCTGATGAGCATTTAGCGTCTGATCAACATTGCCCTGCCTCCAAAGATAATAGTCCCCTTCGGATTCTCCATTCATATAATCTATTCTAAGAAAAATGACAACATATAACCAAACTCAGAACCTTTTTGTTTGAAAATACATTTAGCTATGTTCTATTGTCTGTGGCTGGATTGCCTGTAGATGGTAATGACTTTTCCTTGCATTTTGTTGTGTTGGCTGCATGTGGTTATTGTGTCAGTATTGTCTACTTTTTGTCGATTGCCTTTATTTTGCTGTATTTGATTGTGTTGAATGCATTTCTACAGTTCTACAATTTATATAGCAGACACTTTTATCCAAAGCAACATACATCAGAGAGTAAGTAAAACAAAAGCGAGGATCTAGAGAGGAGGAAAACAATGTCAGTAAATGCAAATTAACAGCTTTAAGTCAGATCGGACACTAATGCTGACAGGCAGTGCACAGAGGCAAAGCACAACATTGACAGCAGTTTCTTGGGAGCTCAATCAGTATAGAAACCATCTTATAAGTCGTCGTTATCAAACAAAAACTATCATCATCAATAATAATTAGGTTACGTTGTCTTGATTTGGTTTTTTTGTCTTTGGTTGTGGTGCCTTGATTTGGTTGTGTTGTCTTGATTTGGTTGTGTTGTCTTTGGTTGTGTTGTATTTGGTTGTGTTGTCTTGATTTGGTTGTGTTGTATTTGGTTGTGTTGTCTTGATTTGGTTGTGTTGTCTTTGGTTGTGTTGTCTTGATTTGGTTGTGTTGTATTTGGTTGTGTTGTCTTTGGTTGTGTTGTCTTGATTTGGTTGTGTTGTCTTTGGTTGTGTTGTCTTGATTTGGTTGTGTTGTCTTTGGTTGTGTTGTCTTGATTTGGTTGTGTTGTCTTGATTTGGTTGTGTTGTCTTTGGTTGTGTTGTCTTGATTTGGTTGTGTTGTCTTTGGTTGTGTTGTCTTGATTTGGTTGTGTTGTCTTGATTTGGTTGTGTTGTCTTTGGTTGTGGTGCCTTGATTTGGTTGTGTTGTCTTGATTTGGTTGTGTTGTCTTTGGTTGTGTTGTATTTGGTTGTGTTGTCTTGATTTGGTTGTGTTGTCTTTGGTTGTGTTGTCTTGATTTGGTTATGTTGTCTTGATTTGGTTGTGTTGTTTGGTTGTGTTGTTTGATTTGGTTATGTTGTCTTGATTTGGTTGTGTTGTTTGTTGTTGTGTTGTCTTTGGTTGTGTTGTCTTGATTTGGTTGTGTTGTCTTTGGTTGTGTTGTGTTGCCTTTGGTTGTGTTGTCTTGATTTGGTTATGTTGTCTTGATTTGGTTGTGTTTGTCTTTGGTTGTGTTGTCTTTGGTTGTGTTGTCTTTGGTTGTGTTGTCTTGATTGGTTGTGTTGTCTTTGGTTGTGTTGTCTTTGGTTGTGTTGTCTTTGGTTGTGGTGTCTTGATTTGGTTGTGTTGTCTTTGGTTGTGTTGTCTTGATTTGGTTGTGTTGTCTTGATTTGGTTGTGTTGTCTTGATTTGGTTGTGGTGTCTTGATTTGGTTGTGGTGTCTTGATTTGGTTGTGTTGTCTTTGGTTGTGTTGTATTTGGTTGTGTGTTTTGGTTGTGTGTCTTGATTTGGTTGTGTTGT